AAAAAAAAAAAAAAAAAAAAAACAACGGATCCAAGGTACAGCTTGAGGACTCAGGTAGAATTCAGAGAGGCCGTGCACTCAAAGCTCTTAGCACCGAGCTTGGCCCTTCGTGAGTGTCCGATGAATTGCTCAATTCCAACTGACTCTGCTACAGAGCGCCATGCATGTGCTAGGCTCTGGGGACATAGAATGCAGTAGGTAAGGTCCTCGCCCTAGGGAGCTTACAAGAGAGGGATGAAGCCTTTTTTTTTGAGATGCAGTTTTGCTCTTGTTGCCCAGGCTGAAGTGCAATGGCGTGATCTCGGCTCACTGCAATTTCTGCCTCTAGGGTTCAAGCAATTCTCATGCCTGAGCTTCCCAAGTAGCTGGGATTACAGGCATATGCCAATATGCCTGGCTAATTTTTGTAATTTTAGTAGAGATGGGGTTTTGCCATGTTGGCCAGGATGGTCTTGAACTCCTGACCAGGTGATCTACCTGCCTCAGCCTCCCAAAGTACTGGGATTACAGGTGTGAGCCACCGCTCCAGGGTGCAGCCTTTATGCCAATCATTACCTCTCACTACGTGCAAAAAACTGCTATGCATGTCATGGGATGGCCCTTCAAGCATGTGGTGAATTATAATCCATGGCCAGTGTGACTGATGTGATGTTGGGGCTCAGAAAACAATACCCCAAAATCAAGAAGCAAAAGTTTTTTTTTTTTTTAACCTTCTCCTGTCCCTCTACCTGCTCCCCTTCCCCTTCCCCCTACCCAGTCTCTGGCTCCTTATTCTCCCCAAGACTAGTCATAGAAACTAGAATCCATCTTCTCCAAGATGGATCATAGAAACCAAAACCCCTTTTCTCCAAAGCTGCTTCCGTGAAACCTAAAAATATGACTCCAACTTCCCCTGCCTTTCTGTCTAAAAACTGGCCATAAAGAAATGATCTGACCTACCTAGTTTCATTGTAGGTCAAAAGACTCCCTTCTAGAGAGGGTCCTGCCCCATGTGTGGGAGAAAGGAACGCTGTATAGAGAGGCCAGGAAGAACATAGATGGCCTTGCTGAGTTCCTCACTCTGTCTATAGCATTAGTTCATCCCTGTTTTTGTTCAATTCTATTTCTGTGTGGCTATCCAGACCTTGTTGAACCTAAGCATAAAAATGGACCATTTCCCCTGTATCTTTGGGTCTTATTCTGCCTGTGGCACATAAAACTGTCATCAGATAAATTTGTATGTCTTTTCTCTTTTTTGTTTTATTGAGACGGAGTCTTGCTCTGTTGCCCAAGCTGGAGTGCAGTGATGCGATCTTGGCTTACTGCAACCTCTGCCTCCTGGGTTCAAGCTATTCTCTTGCCTCAGCCTCCTGGGTAGCTGGGATTACAGGCACGTGTCACCACGCCTGGCTAGTTTTTGTATTTTTGATAGAGATGGGGTGTCACCATGTTGATCAGGCTGGTCTCGAACTCCTGACCTCAGGTGATCCACTCGCCTCAGCCTCCGAAAGTGCTGGGATTACAGGCGTGAGCCACCATGTCCGGCCCCCTTTTCTCTTATTAATCTGCCTTTTGTCAGTTGATTTTCAGCAGAACTTCAGAGGGCAAAGAGGAAGTTTTCCCGAAGCCCCTCAGTGGCCTGGGTAATTGGGAATCCTGTGTGCTGCCTATGTTTACAGCACTGGCCATGGAAAAGTGACAAATGATAGGAACAGAAATAAGTTTCCAGAATGAAAACTGGCAAGTGGGTCTCTGTGAGCCGATAATTCCTAGTTGGGGGAAGGAGGGGGCACACCTGGCAGTACCTGCAGGGTGAGTGGAGAATCCCCTGATAATGGGGATGGCTGGGGTTTGGGGGTACATCTAGCAGTGCCTGTGGGGTGGCTGGAGAACCCCTGACCATGTTCACATGGAATGACTGGGGTTTGGGGGTGCACTTGGCAGTGCCTGTGGGGTGGCTGGGGAGCCCCTGGCAAAGCCCTTGGGTCACCGAGTGGTGTGGTAATGTACCTGATGATGCCTGGGTCCTTCCTCCGGTGCCCCGAGGGCCGGCGCCACTCCTCAACCATCACCACAGATTGCCGGTTGGCGAGGAGGCCGCAGAGAAACAGGGCGAGTGGGGGTGTGAGCAGCAGGCCCAGGCCGTAGAGTGCATTGTAGCGCGCCAGGCAGGGACAGTTGAAGTCGAAAGAGGAGTACAGCTTGACGGTGACTGCAGCCAGCAGCAGGCAGATGCCATTCATCACCGACTCTGAGCTCGACTGGAAGTGCTGGAAGAGCATGCGGAATTTATCCATGGCTCCAGCCTGGGTGGGTGGGTAGCTGTCGGGCGGGCACAGTGAGGCTCTGGCCACCTTCCTGGTGTCTGCTGTGCTGGGGATGAGCCTGGGATCTGCAAGCGGTTCTCTCTCTTCTTCCAAGGGCCTGAGGGGCCAAGGAGGAAGCAGTGCCCAGGCCCCAGCCCAGGCTCCCGGAGTCCAGCCGGGCACTTAAGGCAAGGACAGGCTCTCTCCACAGAGTCTCCCCTGCCCTGGTGCCACTCCCCCCCTCTCTGAGGGAATGAGTCACCCTCTGTGACCAGCAGCCCAAAGCACCTCTAGGCAAATGGGCTCCGCCCTGTAACTCCATTCCTCCTAGCTTTAGGGTCTGGATGCTCAGGCCTGACAGCTGCCGGGGTTTCCTCGGGGGATGGGCAAATTCTGGGTGTGGTGAGGCAAAGATGCTGACGGAGCCAAAGTATATTTTCTGGTCTTGATCAAAAACATGACTTTGAACTTGTCTCGGAGGCATAATAAAACAACAACAGCAGCAACAACAAGAAAATATGATGACTCAGTCAGCCCAGGGAGATTTCATGTTGGCTTTCAGGCAGCCGGGAGGAGCCAGAAGGGGCACCTATTCCTGCCTGAAGCCTTCTTGGAAGAGGAGACCCTTGAGAAGAGTCTTCAACTATGTTTCAGGATTTGCCATGAAAGGGGTGGCGGAAGGGGATGGCCTCCCTGGGAGACGTGCTAATCACTGTGCATTAACCACTGGGTGCCATGGGAGAGGCTGCTCAAGTGCCCCACCCACATGTGTTTCCCCTGCTTCTCCCACATGAGAGATATGCATGTGAAACCACTGCCTCTTCTCTTAACTCTCCTGAGGTCACCAGGTCTCTTCTTGTGTCTCAGTTCCAGCCTCTCTGAAGGATGACAGCCCAGATATTTGAGGGACCCCCAAAACCTGCAAAATGATTTTTTTTTTTTGAGACTGAGTCTTGCTCTGTCGCCCAGACTGGACTGCAGTGGCACTATCTCGGCTCACTACAACCTCTGCTTCCTGGATTCAACTGATTCTCCTGCCTCGGCCTCCTGAGTACCTGAGACTACAGGTGTGCACCACCATGCCCAGCTAATTTTTGTATTTTTAGTAGAGATGGGGTTTCACCATGTTGGCCAGGCTGGTCTCCATCCCGTGCCCCCATGATCTGCCCGCCTCGATTTCCCAAAGTGCTGGGATTACAGATGTGAGCCACCATGCCCGGCCACAAAATGAATTTTGTAAAGGTCACTTAGCCTGTAAGTCAGATCATCCCAAATAAGTCCTGCAAATTTCACGACCACCAGTGTGGCCTGTACTTCTGATGAAGACAGAAAGAAACGTGGGTCTTATTATTATTACTATTATTTGAGACTGAGTCTTGCTCTGTCATGCAGGTTAGAGTGCAGTGGTATGATCTTGGTTCACTGCAGCATCCACCTCCCGGGTTCAAGTGATTCTCCTGCCTCAGTCTCCCAAGAAACTGGGATTACAGGTGCCCACCACCACATTCAGCTAAGTTTTGTATTTTTAGTAGAGACGGGGGTTTCGCCATGTTGATTAGGGTGGCCTCCAACTCCTGACCTCATGTGATCCACCTGCCTTGGCTTTCCAAAGTGCTGGGATTACAGGCATGAGCCACTGAGCTTGGCCACTTAATCCAATTTTTTAAAGAAACATGCCGAGTACAGGCACGAGCCACTGAGCTTGGCCACTTAATCCAATTTTTTAAAGAAACATGCCGAGTACAGGCACGAGCCACTGAGCTTGGCCACTTATTATTTTTATTTTACATATTTATATGTTACTCTGGGTCCTCTGAGACAGATCTCCCTGTGTGAGGGAATCTGTCTCAGAGATTCCCTCACACAGGGAATGAGGAGGGACAGGAGAAGATGGGGAGAGCGACCAGCGGCCCTGCGAGTCTGACTCTGAGCAGAGGAGAGGGCAGGACAGGGGTGAGAAACCCTTCAAGCCAGGAGGACAATCACCACCACATTTTCAGTTGGGTACAGTCCCAGAGGGGCTGTCTGAGGTCACATAGCCTAGTGGGAACAGAGCTAGGGAGGAAGCTGGGATCCTCCGTCTGTGCCTTTCAGCTTTAGTCACCCACTGGGCTGCTGACCCGAAAAGGGGACTGTCCTGGCCCAAGGCCATGCTTCTTGACCCTGAACCAGCAGGGCGGGTGTGGAGCAGGTGGGACGCAAACTGGGCTGGGAGAGTCATGAGCACCCCTCAATCCCATTCTAGTCTCAGGGAGGGATAGAGTGCCCTGAGGGGCCCCAGCCACTTTAACCTTGGGAGTCTCCAGAAAAGAGTAGACAATCCTGGCCTGGCACAGTGGCTCATGCCTGTAATCCTAGCACTTTGGGAGGCCGAGGCGGGCAGATCACGAGGTCAAGAGATCGAGACCACCCTGGCCAACATGGTGAAACCCAGTCTCTACCAAAAATACAAAAATTACGTGGGCGTGGTGGCACGCCTGTAGTTCCAGCTACTCGGGAGGCTGAGGCAGGAGAATTCCTTGAACCTGGGGGTCGGAGGTTGCAGTGAGCCATGATCACCCCATTGTACTCTAGCCTGGGCGACAGAGTGAGACTGGTCTCAAAAAAAAAAAAAAAAAAGAACAGACAATGCTTCTGGGAGAAAACTGGGTCAAAGGCTCTCCAGGCCAACCTTTTCACAGCTCTTGCCTCTGAGAGGTAAGACAGAGTTCCCAGGTCAGCCTGGGTCCCTGGAGCCCTGCAGGGAAACGGTTGCTGAGTGACTGCAGTAGGGCTGACCCTTGCCGGGTATTTACAGGAAATACTTCAGCAAAGAAACAGGCCAGAAAGAAGCCTACCACAAAAGGGATATTATCTCTCAAAGAGAGGGGATGGTTTTAAAAAAAAAATCTCTATTTTCCAAATGGTCTACTTTTATAATAGTAGACATAATAAATGATTATTATAATCATAATGATTTTTAACAATTTCCAGTAAAAATCATAAAATATTTTTTGTTTGTTTGTTTTCTGAGATGGAGTTTCACTCCTGTTGCTCAGGCTGGAGTGCAATGACGGTGATCTTGGCTCACTGCAACCTTCACCTCCTGGGTTCAAGCGATTCTTCTGTCTCAGACTCCCAAAGTGCTGGGATTACAGACATGAGCCGCCACGCTCAGCCAAAATATTTGTATTGGAAAAACATAAAAAAATAAAGGACAAGGCAAAAAGGAGAATCTCATTTTGTTGCCTGGAGCTTGGCCCTGCTGAACGAGGAGAGGAAGAAATAGAGAGAGTAATAAATGGGACTTCTTTTATTCACATGTATGGACCAATATTAAACTGCAGATCTGGCTGGGTGTGGTGGCTCACACCCGTAATCCCAGCACTCTGGGAGGCCAAGGCAGGCAGAGGCTGGAGCTCAGAAGTTTGAGACCAGCCTGACCAAAACATGACAAAACCCCATATCTACTAAAAATACAAAAAACTGTATTAGCTTCTTGGGAGGCTGAGGCACGAGAATTACTCAAACCCAGGAGGCGGAGGCTGTGGTGAGCCCAGATCACTGCTCTCCAGCCTGGCTAACAAAGAGAGACTTTAAAAATTTTCACATTTTTCTTTTTTTTTTTTTGAGAGAGAGTTTTGCTCTTGTAGCCCAGGCTGGAGTGCAATGGTGCGATCATGGCTCACCGCAACCTTCGCCTCCCGGGTTCAAGCGATTCTCCTGCCTCAGCCTCTCAAGTAGCTGGGATTTCAGACATGCGCCACCACACCCAGCTAATTTTATATTTTTAGCAGAGTCGGGGTTTCTGGATGTTGGTCAGACTGGTCTAGAACTCCTGACCTCAGGTGATCAGCCTGCCTCGGCCTCCCAAAGTGCTGGGAATACAGATGTGAGCCACCGCATATGGCCTACATTTTTCTTTTTAATAATGATTTAAATCTTTTTTTTAAAACCAGTTGTAAATATGTGTTAATTTGCAATTGGAAGATCTTTATAGAATAAATCTTTGGTTTCTTTCTTTGTGTTGTTTAATTTTCAAATTGGAGTTTTGCGGGTATATTCTTGGGAGTCTTCCAGATTTTTTTTTTTTTATCTTTGCAAAGGAGTCTCGATATTATTTGAGAAACACCGGCTTCACCATTCTTGGCATTCCTGTTATCGAGAGGGTTTTTTAGGACTAGATGCCCCCTCCTGGAGAAACTCGTTGTATGTGATGTGTGAGAGATGTGTCTATATACCTGTGTGCGCATGTGTGTAGCGCATGTGTACATATTTGGTGTGTGTATGCATGTGTGTTTTCGTAAATATGGATGTGGCCGTCTTCCTGCTTTGTATATGGTGAGCGTGCTCTACCCTGACGGTTCTTTCACCTCTTTTTCTTCCACAGGGAAGGCATGGAATGTGCGTTCCGCTTCTCAGGACTGGGAGACTATGGTTCTGCGTGTCCAGCAGAGTGCAGTGCCCTTTCTGTCTCTCGGTGGCCTGATTCTCTGCTTCCCTGAGGACACAGGTCTTTGAGGGGTCCTGGCAGACCTGGGGAAAGCATTGTGGCACTTCTGTGGGCCCCACTCTGGTGACTCTACAGAGCCACATAGCCCTAAGGGTAGAGAGAGGCTGAAAATGAAATGAGACCATCTAACAGATGGCGCTGGAACCACTGGAGAGCCGTTAGGGAGCAATCTTTACTTCATGCCAAAATAAACTCCACAGGGTTCAAACATTCAACCTAAAAATTAAAGTCATACAAATTCTACAGGAAAACATATATGCATTTATTCATTATCGGAGGCTAATGAAGGTCTTTTTGGACAGACCCCAGAATTTAGTAGCCGTGGAGGAGAAGATGGACAAAGTAGGAGTCATAAAAATTAGAAGCTTCTATGGGCAAAAATACCAATAAGCAAAATAAAAATAACAAACGGAAAGAAGGGAATTTGTCATACATAGGCCACACAAAGGCCTCCTTCCCTTAATTTGCAGAAGGCTCATATAAATCAACAAAAAAGATGAACAATCCTGTAGAAAAATGGGTAAAGGATTTGAACAGACTAAAAAAAAAAAAAAAAAAAAAGAGAGAGAGGGAGCAAGACAAGTGACCAAACATCCTGCAAAAATTCTTTTTCGCTCTTGTTGCCCAGGCGGGAGTGCATGGAGTGCAATGGCACAATCTCGGCTCACCGCAACCTCCACCTTCCAGGTTCAAGTGATTCTCCTGCCT